CAAGACAGGTTTCTCTATGTAGCTTTGTAGACCAGGTTGGCCTCGAATTCACAGAGATTCACCTGCCTCTGCCTCCCAAGTGCTGGGATTAAAGTCGTGCACCGCCACCACCACCTGGCTTCCTTTCCTTCCACCACCTGGCTTCCTTTCTTTCTTTCTTTTTTTTTTTCATTCACATATCATGGATGGATGTCAAATAAATAGTCTTAGATAATGAAGAACAACAGCAGTGCACACCTATAACCAATTTTAAGTGTCAGAAGCAGACCTATCATGAGTTCAAGGCCAGCCTGGGCCACATAATGAGTTTCACAACCTGAGCTACAAAGTAAAATCAGTTGGATCCCTGTTATCCATGGTAGAAGGAGAGGATCAACTCCTGAATGTGTGTGACAGCCCCCCCCACACACACAGGCTCACTGCAACACGAGCAAGTGCTTGCATATGCACAAGCAGACACATATACACACAAAAGTAACAACGATTTCATTACAGAAAGGAATGAATGGTTCAACATATGCAAGTCAATAAACATAATGTAGGACATAAATAAAGCACAAAATCAAATGATCATCAAAATGGATTAAAAAAAAAAAAGCCTTTGCCCAAACTCAACATCTCTTCATAATAAAAGCCCTGAGGAAGCTGGGCTTAGTGACATATGCCTTTAATTCCCAGCACTCCTGAAGTAGAGGCAAGTGGATCTTTGTGAATTCCAGGTCAGCCTGGTCTATATAGCAAGTTCCAGGCCAATAAGTAAGATACTATCTCAAAAAAAAAAAAAAAAAAAAAGCAATAATAGCAAAATCTAAGAACTAATAATAACAGGTATTCTTTATATAATAAACCCAGAGCCAACATTACACTGAGGAAAAACACTGGAAGCATTATTCTGTAAAACCAGACAATGGGCATGAATGTCAACTCTTTTTCTCTCTTACACAATTAAGTATTGAACTTATTATTCCAGAGCAATAATGTAAGAAAATAATTTAAATAAAAGGGATAAAAACAGGAAAGGAAGAAGTCAAGTTATCCCTATTTGCAGACAGTATGATCTATACTTATACTCTGGCACAAAGGTAGACACTAGAATAGTGCAAGAGAATATAGGACCCTAGGACACTGGAGAGATGGCTCAGCAGTTAAGAGCAATGGCTGCTCTTCCAGGAGACCAGGGGTTGAATTCCCAGCACCCACATGACAGCTCAGAACTGTCTATAACTCCAGGTCCAGAGGACCCGATATCCTTACACAGACAAAAACATCAATTCGCATAAAAATAAATAAGTAATTTTTAAAAAGAAAACAGCCGGGCGTTGGTGGCACACGCCTTTAATCCCAGCACTCAGGAGGCAGAGGCAGGCGGATCTCTGAGTTCGAGGCCAGGATAGGCTCCAAAGCTACACAGAGAAACCCTGTCTCGAAAAACCAAAAATAAATACATAAATTAATAAATAAATAAAATAAAAAGAAAAGAATACAGGACCTAGAAATGAACCCATGCAGTTTCAACTACCTGATGCCTGACAAAGATGTCTAAAACACACATAGGGGTGGGGGAAGAAATCTTCAATAAATACTGCCAGTAAAAATGCAAAACCATATACAGAAGAACGAAACTAGATCCCTATCTTACACTGTACAAAAATCAATTACAAATACATTACATTTTTGAATATAAGACCTCAAACATTGAAAGCACTAAATGAAACCACTTGGGAACACACCACACATAGTCAATGACTTTCTCAATAAGACTCCAATAGCTCAAGAAATAACAGCAAGAATTGGCAACCATGACTTCATAAAATTAAAAGCTGTATAACAAAGAAAATACCTAGTGTAATTAACCCAAGGTCAGTTAATGGCTCAGTAAATGCCACCTAGCCTAAGTTTGACACCCAGGATCTCCATGGTAGAGGAGAAATGACTCACACAAGCTGTCTTCTCACCTCTGCATGTAAACTGTGACACCACCATACCCCAACATATACACACAAATAAAATGTAATAATCTTTTTTAAAGTTTCCATTTCACTCCAGCAAGAATGACTATAATCAAGAAAACTTAAATATAGCAAGAGTAAGGGGGAAAGGAACCCTCTTAAGCTGTTAGTGGGAATATAAATTATTCCTGCCACTGTGGAAAACTATATGGAAATTACTCAAAGAAATTAAAAACAATACCACATTACCTAGTTGGACCACTCCTGCATATACACCCAAAGGAATCAGAGTAAGCATACAACAGTGACACCTTGTATACTCGTGCTTATCTCAGCATTATTCACAAAAGCCAATTAGTGATGTAAGGCTAGGTGCCCATCAACAGATGCATGGGTAAAAAGAAAAATGTGATAGAGAAACACAATGCAATTTTGTTCTGCCATCATTTGTAGAGCACTGCACACAAGTGGCCATCATCTACCAGAATTGGAGCGAGAATCAAAAAAACAAGTGTCATGCATTTTCTCACACAAGCAGAACCTATGTTTTTTGTTTTTGTTTTTTTCACTTTTGTTTTTCTTTTAAAGCAGTCCTGAGAATTGGACCCAGGAACCTGTATGTTAGGCAAACCTGGCCCATCTCCACTCCCTAATTTAAAAAGAAAGGAAGGGAGGAGAAATGATGTCCCCTTACCCTGATATTTGAGACAGGACCTCATGTAGCCCAGACTGGCCTTGAACCTGGTATACAAACAAGGATGACCTCAAATTTCTAATCCTCCTGCCTCCACTTTCCAAGTGCTTGGATTACAGGTATGAGCCATCACACTTGGTTTTAAAGGAATGCCCTTTTCTAAAGGTACTTGGGTTTATAATCACCCATCATACAGTGCAAACAGGCCCTTAAACACAGTGTCTTTTATCACAGTTCTTCATATTTTTATAACTAATTAAGATTATGAGCTGGGCAGTGGTGGCACACGCCTTTGATACCAGCACTCGGGAAGCAGAGGCAGGTGAATCTCTGTGAATTTCAAGCCAGCCTGGTCAACCGAGCTACACAGAGAAACCCTGTCTCAAAACAATCCTTAAAAAAAAAAAAAAAAAAAAATTATGCAATATATCCTTGAACTTAATTTTGAAATAAAAGATATAAAACTACCAGAAACTCCAAATTTCTACTACTATGTACCTCTTTTTATTTTTAAATAATTTAATTCCCTTTACCATAACAAAAAAATTGATCATACCCAATATCTGTAAGGGGCGGTTTATCTCTCCCTCTCTTATAACACAGAAAAAGCTCTGGGCTTTTCAGACTTCCATAGTTCAAGTTTGCTTGGAGTGCTGATGGAGTGGCTTCAACACAGGTGTACCCTTCCGGTACAGCTTCCCCAGCTGATTTGATAATAACTGCAATGTCTGTAATTGGAGCTTTAGGGCCAGTTGATTTATTATCTATACGATTTATTTCTTGATCCAAAAGAGTTGATGTATCGGTGAGACCTGCCACTACAAAGTAGTCTGTCACTCTTGGTCCTTTGTCTTCTATCATGACTGCTGTTCTGTTTCCTAAAAGAGAAATAAAGGTATCAACAGTTGGAAATAGTTAATACTGATCAAAATTAAGACATCCTTAAGTTAGGAATAATCAACTACCAGAATCAAACTTCATTCTATAGGTTTTTATAATCTTATCAGCTTTTATCTACAATAAAGTAAGTCTGGTTCATTTGCAACACAATTTCATACACCTATAGCTCTTATTTTAAGACCATTAGCTGGGTGTGGTGGCTCAATCTGTAATCTAAGCACTTGGAAAGCTAAAGCGGGAGGATTTTGAGTTTGAGGCCAGCACTACACTGTAAGACCCTGTTTCAAAACCTGGAAAAAGGGACCATCAAGATGGCTCAAGGGGTAAAACATCTGCCTCAAAATCCTAATGACCTCAGCTTGATAACTGAAACCCACAAGGGAAGAGAGCCAACTCCCCTACAAGCTGTCCTCTGGACTCCACACTCACAATATGTCATGCACATATACACACACACACCTACCCACAAAAAATGAACGCATACACACTACTATTTATTCAGTAAAGATTTATGAGCTGTTGATTTGGTAATAATATGGGATGACTGATGTGAAAACAACCAGACCAAACAAACAAACAAACAAAACGCATATATGATTCTATTACTATTATTTTGAGACAAGGTCTGCTATGTATCCCTGGCTGGCACAGAACTCATTGTGTAGACCAGGCTAACCTCTATCCGTCTGCATCTGCCTCTCCAGTGGTGGAATTAAAACATGCACCACCTACGATGCCTGGCCCCATATAAATTTTAGAAACTTGCTGCAAAAATGTCTCAGCAGTTAAGAACACTAGCTGCTCTTACAGAGGACCTGGGTTCAGTTCCCAGCACCCACATGGTGGCTCAAAACCATCTGTAACTCCAGTCTCAGGGGATCTGACGCCCTCTTCAGGCCTCCAAAGGCACTGCATGGCAAAGTAGAACAAAGGCATACTTGTAGGCAAAACACAGACACACATTTAAAAAAATTATAAAAGCCTGGCATGGTAGCACCCACCTTTAATATCACTTGAGAGGCAGAGCCAGGTGGATCTCTGAGTTCAAGGCCATTCTGGTTTACAGAAGAAGTCCCAGGATGGCCAGGGCTATACAGAGAAACCCTGTCTCAATTAATTAGTTTTTAGAGGCTACATTGATAAAAGACAGTATCAGGAGAAAATAGTGATATCTTCATTATCTTGACTTGGCAATGGTTTCCAAATGTATAGATTTGTGTCTTTTAATATAATATTGATTTAATTATTTCAGAATATCATACAATGTATTTTGATCATACTTATCCCTAGCTGTTGCTTTGACTCCTTCCAGATCTACCCAGAATCTCCTTTCCACCTCCTCAACTTGGTGTCTTTTCTTTTCTTTTCAGAAATAAAATGCTGAGTCCAAATTGTGCTGCCCACATACTCAGGGATGTGAGGCCATGCACTGCAATGTGTAAACCTGCAAGGAGCCACAACCCTTAAAGAAAATTGACTCTGTCTGCCAGAAGTCATCAACTATCAACAGCTCCTCAGTTAAGGAGCTGTTGAGTCCCTGTCCCCTCCAAGATTTGCACATTTTAAATTTGAGTTGTACATTTTATCTATTTATCTTTCAAGTTTTCTATTAGCACATATCAATTATACACAAAATGGGTTTCATTATGACATTTTCACACATGTATACAATGTATTTTGATCATATTTAAGACACCTTGCTGGGCAAAGGAGTACAGAACTTTTTAATGGAGGAATTTAATGATAGTTACTCCATGACTCTGCTAATGTAGGTACATTTAGATTTATTATATTTTATTCTCATTTTTGGACTATCCCAAATGTCTTGAACATTGTTTTTGAGCTTCTCAACGACCCCTACTTCATTTAACAATTCCTAACCATGTTGATCTATTCTGTCATCTCATTTTTTTCCAATTTATTTTAAGACAAACATTCTGCATAATTGAATTTCTTCAGATTTTATTGAATTTCTTCAAATTATTGAGTTTCTTCAAATTACATACATTTTGCATTCAATACCAAACACATTACAATATATTAAATAACAAGTTCTACTTCTAGTTATCTAGCCAGAGTAAAATTGCTATCTTGAGGTGATTACCCTGCACCCACCAGGCTCATTTTAGCATTATGATAGCAGCATAAAGTATGGAGGGGAGCAGCTGAAGCGGATGGCTCAGTAGTTAAGAGCACTTACTGTTCTTGCAAAGGACTCAGGTTTGCTTCCCAGTTCCAGGGGACCTGATACCCTCTTCTGACCTCTGCAGGCACCAGGCACAGGCATGGTGCATACCCATACATGCGTTCAAACACACAAAGTAAATAGGTCTTTAAAAAAGACAAAACATGGGGCTGGAGAGATGGCTCAGCAATTAAGAGCACGGCTGCTCTTTCAGAGGACCCGGGTTCAATTCCCAGCACCCACATGGCAGTTCACAACTGTCAGTAGCTCCAGTTCCAGAGGATTGGACATCCTCAGACATACATGCAAACAAAACACCAATGCACATAACATAAATAAAATTAAAAAAAAAGAGAGGACAAAATGCAAGGGATGCTAATTTGGAAGAAGGGTGTCAGAACACGGTCCAAGAATGGAGTCTTGTGAGAATTCTAAGCACTTGTGAGAAAAATCCAAGAAAACACACTAGAGTCTTGTGATCTCAATTTCTTCAAAACCCAGAATTGTTCTTGGAACACTTTAGTGCCCCTCCCAGGTGTGAGGGATAGGAGTGACTTTACTTCAGCTGTTGTTATTCATATTCCTCTATTAAAACATGTTTTTGTCAGGAGCAGCCTCTTGTGATTTCATACTTATCCAGGTTATTCTTCTTAACCTTCAGAGTATAAATTGCCTGATGCACCAGACTTGAGTTAGCCCCATTTTTAGGCCTTCTCTCCCAAGTTCACCTGCCAATTAGAGCAGTTAACAAAAGGGATCAGTGGGAATGGGTGGGACAGGACAATGAAAGATTTAAAAAGTTTTGTTGCTGTTGATTTTTGAAACAGAGTCTCATTATGTAGCCCTAGCTGGCATGGAACTTTGTAGTAGGCCAAGTGACTCTGAATTGTTGGAGATCTACTTGCCTCTGCCTCTTTTATTTTTTAAAGATTTATTTTTATTTTTAAATTATTGGGGGGGGGTGGAGTGACGGCTCGAAGGTTAAGAGCACTGGTCACTCTTGCAGAGGACCTGGATTCAATTGCCAGCATACATATAGGGCAGCTTACAACTGTCTGTAATTCCAGCCTCAAAGGATCTGACATCCTCTTCGCCTCCAAAGACAATGCATGCATGTAGAGCACAAATACACAAGCAAGCATATCATCCATACATATAAAAATAAATCAAAATTTAAAAAGCATTAAAAATGTATGTATCTGATGCCAGGCGGTAGTGGTACATGCCTTTAATCCCAGCACTCCGGAGGCAAAGGCAGGGGATCTCTGCGAGTTTGAGGCCAGCCTGGTCTACAAAGCTACACAGAGAAACCTGTCTTGAAAAACCAAAAATGTATATATGTATGTATGTATGATGTATCCATATGTATGTATCTGTGTATGGGTATGTGCACATGAATAAAGAAGCCCTGAAAGGCTAGAGGTATTTGGATTCCCCTGAGCTGGAGTTACAGGCTGTTTTGAAATGCCTGGAGTGGGTGCTGGAAACTGAACTCAGGTCCTCTGAAGTGCCTCTAGTGCTCTTAACTGCTAAGCTATCTCTCCAGCCCTGTACTTATATTTTTATATATTTGGGGTTTTGTTTTGTTTTGAGGAGTGGGACTCAGTCACAGCAATCCTTTTATTCTTTGTCTCACCCCCTGAAATGCCCAAATACCAGACACTTAATTCTTTACCATGACCACTTCAGACTACATCTACTTTACAGCTGACACTATTTCTCTGTATATGCGTAACTCACATTTTTATTTTTTCATCTAAAGGACACTAAGTTGTCTCCATACCCTGCTGCTATCATAATGCTAAAATGAGCATGGGGTGGGGGTGGGGTATAGGTATGGCCTCAAGATAGCAATTTTACTCTGACTAGATAACTACAAGTATGATTGCCAGTCCACATAGTGATTCTATTTTTAATATAATTTTTGAGTAATCTCCCCTATTAAGTTCCCATATTTATAACAATGTTCAAGGACTCCCTTTGCTCTAAACCCTGACCAATGCTGTGTAGTAAAAGCTTTTCTGTTTGGTTTTTAAAGACAGGTTTTCACTCTGAAACCTAGGCTGGCCTCAAACTCTCATTAGTCCTCCTGCTTCAGCCTCCCAAGCCATTTAGCTTTAGCAAAGCTTTTTTTAAAAGGTGTAAAAGTCAACTTATGGGGCTTACTAATTATTCAATCTCCAATGTAACAAAGATAATCTTTCATAACTTAATTTCATACTTCTTACTGACTAGCCCCTCCCTTCCATCAAACAGGGCTTCTCTGTGTTGCCCTGGCTGACCTGAAACTCCTTCTGTAGACCAGGCTGGCCTCAAACTCAGAGATCCCCCTGCCTCTGCTTCCCAAGTGTTGGGATTAAAGGCGTGTGCCACGACACATGATGCCCAAGAAATTCATTAATGTAAACAAAACACTATTAGCTTCAACTTACACAACTAAATGTCATCCATACAATTCCTCTCATTGTAATAAAAAGGTTTCTTTCAGAGTTTCAAAGTTTATCTGCATGTTCTCACACCATGCAAAATGAATGATGTTTTTTTTCAATCAAGGAAAGTACCATTTTATCAGTTATTGGCTACATTTAAGCAATGTAAAACAGGGCTTAGTGGTTTCCTTTAGACAGCTCTATCAAAATCAGTTATGCCTCCTGTATCAGAGAACTATAAAACTGAAGTCCTTTCAAACAAAATCAGTTGACAGAACAATGATATTCTCCATTATTGTATCTGTGGCTCCAAGTTTTACACAGGAGTAATGTAAAGAGAGGGGCTTGGGCTAGATAGTAAAAAAAAAAAAGAAAATCGAAAGCCA